AGCAGTACCACAACATTTGTGGGTTAGCACACAAGAGACTAAGGCATAGCAAGTCATAGACTTGGTATTACGGATAGAAACGGGATAGATGCAGTGGAGACTGGATCTAGTTAGTTGACAGTAGGTTTTGCCAGAGAAGTGGTCCATGTAGCAAAGGCTTGACGATGAGACTTACTCAGAGGCTTTAGCCTCGAATTAGTCACCAAAAAGCAGGGTAGAGTAAATAACGCCTTGAATAGCACAGATGGGATGGCAGGAATAGAGTAAAATACATGAAACAGGAATATATCAAACGGATCGTACAAGGCAAGAGAGAGACTGTGATAAGACCTAGGGAAGGAGGACTGCGTAACAATATGACAGATTCTGATCAACATTTCCAGTACAAGGGTGAATGGGGTGAGAACGCCAGCGTGTAGTGCCGACGGTTCTAATGAAAGCCGCTCAAAAGGTCACTCCACACTCGATTTGAATAAGCAAAGGAATAAAATTGTAAGAGTGAAGGTGTGATAGGAGAATATAGGAAATGTGAATAGCCCAGGGCAGAAGAGGAGATACCACAACTGTTTAGCACACGTTTGGTCAAAGGATCGGCTTCACTTCTCTCATTGACGAGTTGTGTGGTGCTAGGAATGGCGAGACTCACTGACGATGCCGGCGAAACGTCTGGGAATGTAGTACGTCCACGGTCCGACTTTGGAAATTATCATGCATATTATGGACTCTGGACAAAGTGCGTTCCTTTAAGTCTTCCTACCAATATGACCAAGTTGCGAAAACAGTCAAAGAACCTCTATACAACGAAAGGAGACTGCGACCACACAAAAGCCCACACCATCTTGGTCTTCATACCTTAGTATTAACTATTGTTTAAGAGAAATTGATATTAAAAGCATCAAAAGAAACTCTTAGAGTCAGGTTATGAATCAGATTATGAACTCGTAAGATAAGTATATATAAAAAATGTGACAATCATATGCAGGATTAATAAAAAATCTTTGAGAATACTATGAATAAGTGTTGGTAAAAACCTATTCTAAGCAAGATAAGCGAGTGGACTAGTCTACTAGGATAATGGTGTTACTATCCTGTCAGATGCGCTGAGATATATCTTAATGAACTGGACACAGATAGCACAAGACGCCAGATAGATAGGTTTAAAGCCGAGTGTTTTACAGGATATGGAAATTTCACAAGACGAGGAATGGGGAGTTTATAGAAATATATAAAATGAAGGACATTCTGAATAGAAGAAACGAATATGGGAAAGTGAAAGGGGAAGCTGGAATGAATGCCAAGCAAGAGAAGACATGATTTGGCTTGAATCAGGTTAGGATCCTCGCATTAATGACACACGTACAAATAAGTGCAGGTACACGCGTCGACATTGGGGTTCAAAAATATATTTGATTTAGATGAGGATACAGCTGTTTGGTGACGAACGCAGTGACTTGATACACTAACTACAGCCAATTAACTTATATGTAAACAAATAGGTAAAGCATTATATGCCATTCTATGTGGACAAATTAATACAATAAGAAGTAGGTAGAGTTGCATTCTACTAACTTTTTTATCTGTGAGTAAAAAGGCCTCTTTGGCATAATACAAATAATGACATTTTTAAATATAATTAAGAAAATTTAATATGATGTCTAAGAATCTAAATATATTGAAAAAAACATAGCCATATGTTCAACAAATAGAAGGATTGTAAAATTTAACAGAGCTGAGACAGGTATGTGTAGAGCACAAAATATTAAGGATAGACAAGCTTACTCTGCCCCTCTCCACTTCCTTCGTGATCATCACAATTACGGCACTTCGCTCCTGCCAAACCATTCGCCAGAATTCGGTCAAAGTGTTTGCTAGCGTACCTTGAGTAGCAATAAAGCGTGGTTGGCCGTTGAAGAGGAAAGCAAAAGGTGGAGTTAAGTTTGGCGCGGAATTGGGTGCGGATGATGAAGCCAATGAATTCGTTACAGCAGATGCTGCTGTTGGCTGTTGCGTAGGCGGGAGTAAGAGTGGGCCCGGTTTAGGGGGCGAAGAAGTAGAACCAGATGGCAAGGTAACAGATGCAGAGGTAGAGTAAACTGTCGAAGCAGGTGGGCCTGCGCTGTGCGGCTGAAGAGGCGGACTGTTTGTGGATCCAGAAGAGGTGGATCGGGAGGTGCCAGAAAGGCAAGCTAATGGTGACACAGAGTTTAGCGATTGGGATTGATGTTGGTGACTAAACTGGTGGTAGAGACCAAGTAGGGCTTGATGTTGTGGGTGATGAGCGTGGTTAACAAGTGGGCCATGGTGACTTAGGAAAGTGCCAGTGGACAATGTTTCAGTCAGCTGGGGCTGAAATAAATACAATACACACAATATAATCTAAAATGGTTTAGTACTATAAAAAAAGAAATAATCGTCAATAAAACCGAAAAGGAGTAATTTAATTTAGTTATTTTGATGTCGAAAGGAACATTATATGATTCATAAAGACTAGATATTTAAAAGATAGAAGAAATTAGGTGAAAAGTGAGAAAATATTAACAAGTTGACTTTTAACGAACACATATAACACAAGGAATAATTTAATTTCATCTAATATATTTGGCCAAATTAAGAGATACAATACTAATCAAAATTTTAATGCCCGTCGTTATTTTTGCAAAAAAAAGGGAAAAATTAAAATAAAATCTTTTGTGATTCAATTATTTCGATTCCATCCACACAATAAAAGTGGTATTTAGTTAATAAATTAAATTATTAATACTAGTAATAGTAAAGTAGCAAATGAAATTTAAGCAAATATTATCCATTCCCTAATATTTTCAAATGATGTATTAGCTTCAATGCTAAGGCTGTCTGAAAATTTAATAGAAAGGACAATACTTAATACTTAATGTGCAAATGCATTTGTAGACAGCAATAAAAAGTGAATGTGGGCTGACATCATTTTCGTAATTAATCGTGTTGTCAGGGCGACTTAGGCGCATCTTGTCTGGAGTCATCTTCTATAGTAGTTATCATATTTCCAAGCACCGGATCG